CGGTGCAGCGCCATCTATGGTGGAGAGTGTGGTTGCGGCCCTCTACACTGATCTAATGGGAGCTCACCAAGGCCAGCTAGACTAGGACTGAACGAGCATGTGATCAAACCGGACTCTCTGAATGTGACTGACAATAAGGGCTGACTGAGAATCCAAGGACAATGGCACTGGGTTTTGATTCTACTGCATGTACTGGCTTTGTGGAAGCCTAGTCTGTTTGGATGCTCACCTTCCTAGACCTGGATGGAGGGGGGAGAACCTTGGACTTCCCACAGGACAGGGCACCCTGACTGCTCTTAGGACTGGAGAGGGAGAGGGGAAATGGGAAAAGGGGAGGAGGTGGAAATTTTTAATAAATAAAAAATAAGAATGAAAATAGACTTATATCTATCCCCATGCTCAAAACTCAAGTCCAAGTGGATCAAAGACCTCAACATAAAGCCAACCATACTGAACCTCATAGAAGAGAAAGTGGGAAGTACACTTGAACGCATTGTCACACGAGACCACTTCCTATATATAACCCCAGTAGCAAAGACACTGAGATAAACAATGAACAAATGGAATATCCTGAAACTGAGAAGCTTCTGTAAAGCAAAGGACACTGTCAACAAGACAAAACCACAGCCTACAGATGGGAAAAGATTTTCCCCAACCCCACATCAAACAGAGGTCTGATCTCCAAAATATACAAAGAACTCAAGAAAATGGTCATCAAAAGAACAAATAATCCAATTTTAAAAAATGGAGTACAGACCTAAACAGAGAACTCTCAACAAAAGAATCTAAAATGACTGAAAGACACTGAAGGAAATGTTTAACAACCAGAGAATTGAAAATTAAGATGATTCTGAGATTCCATCTTACACCTGTAAGAATGGCCAAAATTAAAAAAAAAAAATTCCCTGATGAGATGACAGTTTATGCTGGAGAGGATGTGGAGTAAAAGGGAACACGCCTGCATTGCTGGTGGGAATGCAAGCTGGTACAGCCTCTTTGGATGTCAGTGTGGTGATTTCTCAGAAAATTAGAAAACAACCTACCTCAAGACCCAGCAATATCATTTTTGGGTGTATACCCAAAGGATGCTCAATCGTACCACAAGGACATGTGCTTAGCTATGTTCATAGCAGCATTATTTGCCATAGGCAGTACCTGGAAACAACCTAAATACCCCTCAACCAAAGAATGGATAAGCAAAATGTGGTACATTTACACAATGGAGTACTTACTACACAGCAGAAAAAAAAATGACATCTTAAAATTTGTGGACAAATTGGATGGATCTAGGAAACATCACATTGAGTGAGGTAACACAGACCCAGATAAACAAATTCATATGTACTCACTCATAAGTGACTTTTAGACATAAAGCAAAGAAAAACCAGCCTACAAATCACAATACCAGAAAACCTAGACAGCAAAGAGGACCCTAAGAGAGGCACACACGGATCTAATCTACATGGGAAGTAGAAAAAGACAAGCTCTCCTGAGAAAATTGGAAGCATGGGGATCATAGGAGAGGGTAGAAGGGGAGGGGAGATAAACAAGGAAAGGAGAAAGATATATACCTCAATACAAACAATTTTTTAAAAATGCTAAGCACAAAGAAAAACAAACACAAAACATATTTGGAAAGTTGAAAGCTAAATGTTTGTATTGTTGAAATGTTTATAAACAATGGCTTGTAGGTAAAATACCCCCTTAGTTTTTTTAGAAATGGTGTTTTATTGGAAAATAAACAGAAATGTGTATTACATAAGTAACACAATTTCAATCTGAAAGAAGCATATGGGTATATTTTAATATAAACATCAGTGGTAATGTAATGGAGAAAATGCTGTAAGCAATCACTATATCATTATCATTCTTGTATCACCTGGATAAACAGAGAAGGAAGCTGATAAGAGAAAAATGAAACATTAAAATGAATAATTTCTGTATTTGTATACTTTGAACATGTTGCTATCAAGTCAAAATAAAACAACATTTGCAGTGATAAAAAAAAAGTTTTAGCTCAGACATGCCAGTCAAATAAGAACAAAAACCTACACCTATGGAATACAAAATTAAAATCAAAACAAAAACCACAAGATGTTCATGAACCAAAAGACAAGTTCAGGAAACATTGTCTTCAAAAACGAAGCGATTAGAAGTGTTTGGTAAATGGAGCTTTCAGCAGTTGTAGAAGCATTTACTTTGGTGAGTCTAAAATTTTGCACACATCTGTTTTCATGAATCTTTTTCTATGGGGTTTGTCTGGTGATTACAAAACGATTTAGCAAAATAAATTCCTCATAGTATCTACTTCTGTAGCCATCAGGTTAATGTCTTAACCCCAACCACAAACACAGAACCAAAATAACAAATAAACACAAAATAATTACATAAAACAGAGGATTCTTCTTCTGAATCTGATGAAAACCAAGTCAGATATCCCAAAGATGATGTCTTCAGTCTGAGTACCTGCCATGGGCTCTTACTCCACAGATGCCCGTTCCAGGATACCCATTGCTTTTTATTCATGAGGAAAGAAGTTACGATGAAAAGCCCTAGAAACTAAAAACTGAGTGGCTGGAGACAGAGGAAGAATAGCCTGAGAAAATCTTGACCAAGGACAAGGACGTTTCTTGCACAAAATAAAATAGCATGGTTAAGACAAAATGTTGCGATGTGTCAATTTTCAGGGTAATAAGACAAATACAGTATTGAGCCAAGATCCTCATATCAGAGAAGTTCCAGGAAGGTTGTTACTAGACCATTGACTCCCAAGGTCCAGTCAGGATTCCGGGGTCCATAACAGATATCTCTCAGCTTCCCAGAAGACAGACCCCAAGGCCTGGAAATAAGTCAGTCTTGAAAGAATGGTGACTTTCCACCTCCCAAAACCAACGCCCATTCCCCTTAAGCTACTCTCCTCAAGTTCTGCCTTCAAGTTTACATCTTTGGGTCAGATATCTAGCTCCTTACTGCAGGAACTGGAAACCAAATGTCCCTTGCTGTTGGTAACAGCCTTTTCAGTCACAGAAAGCAGCTCTCCAATGAGGAATGTAACTCTTAAGATGAGTTCCAACTGGGGTGCCAAACATGGTACTAATTTTTTAGACCTTAATTCTCTTTCCAGTCTTGGGATTGTGGGACCACTAAGACTGGATACTGATTTAGTTTCATCTTTGGCAAGTACAGAAGAAGTGGTAGACTTACAGAGTAACTGCTTGACCTAATAGGAGCTGGCAGCTTTAGTGATAAGTCATGAGATACACCGGTGAGAGACAGGGAATAATGTTCATGTCTTTTCCGGAGTTGACAGGATTTCCCAGGAATCTTGGTACCGACTCTTCCTTTTCATAATTTTTTATGGATTATTTGGGAATTTCACAACATAAACCCCAAGTACACTCGCTTCTAAGTCTTCCCAAGTCCACTTTCCACCCTTGTGACACCACATACACACAAAAGAAGGAGGAGAACAGGAAGAAAAGAAAGAGGAAGAGGAGGAAGAGAAGAAGAAGAAGGAGGAGAAGGGGAAGAAGAAGGAAGAAGAAGAAGAAGAAGAAGAAGAAGAAGAAGAAGAAGAAGAAGA